GCATAATTAATATAGTACACGATACATAACTAAGTACGTGAAACAACATACTCCCATGCCCATCGAAGTTTCATGAAATCGCATTATTTATCGCATCGTTACATTTACGTAATCTATTCTTTAATTTTGTCGTGGTATAATGATAAAACATAAATTCTTTTCGAAAATTGACGATGGTAGAATTATGTGTACATTGAAACGCTAGTTGTTTAACGTTAAAAACATGAAATATATATTTTCACCGCTATTATTTTATCACAATGAAACCACAAAACATTTCTTATTACGTTCAGCAGGAGTTACTACAATAGGAATTTACATTTTAACGTATCGACGAAAAGTATGTCATGGCTGGGCATATGGAAATCCACATTGCTTGTCTATAACAATCTACAAAACACGGTGTATGGATCACCGTGTCAATCGAAAATTTTTCGAATCGTAAGGTACACTTCCCATTGTACGCTTACATCCTAGTTCGGAGCATGGAGAAACTAGCCAAGGATGTATTCATAATCTATGTGGGACAAAAACAGTCATAAATGTTTCATTAGGTACATTAGAAATAAATCGGTAATTCATTTTGACGAAAGATATAAATGTTACATCCTGTTGTCCACGACGCCGGAATGGAAACATTGGCCGTTGGTTGAATTGATTTCTACCGTTCAAATGGACTGAAATAAATAAATCAATTGGCATTTTATTCAATATGAATGTCGTTATCCTACTGCGAAAAACAATATCAAAAAACATATTTTGCCATATTAAACGCCAATTGATTTATTTACTTCAGTCCATTTGAACGGTAGAAATCAAGTCATCCAGCGGCCAATGTTTTCATTGCGGCATCATGGAAAACGAGCTAAAGTATGGGCTAAAAAAATTTACATTCAAAATGTGATATATAAAATGAATCCTAAACGATTCAGGATGATAAGAAAGTCAGACTCTCGCGGCAAGCGTTGTTATCATTTCCATATCGAAACAGATAAAAGGAAGTAACTGTACTTACACCAGTAAAACCGAACAACGAGAAGGTGTAAAATTTCCCAGCCATAATGTACATCTTTCGTTGTCCGTTCGTTAAACAGATCAGTAATATTTTCTTATCAGGACTTGTCACCTCTGGCCAGCTGATATAGTAGAACGCGTCACCGACCCTCTGCGACTAAAGCATATCGCTTAATTAACGTTTTATATGTAGCACTAATCGAGGTTGTAATTATCGAGATTCCAATGTAGTTTGATTAACGACTGTACATTTGTCATATGTACTTTTGTACAGTCGAAACATATAGTACTCATACTGTAACTTGAGTAAGAATTTATGAGAAATTCATGAAGTAATATGCGGCTTTCTAATTGCAAAACGTTTTCCATCTTTGGGATATAGTGTACTCACCTCGTATATTAGTTGTTCGCCTATGTACGAATACAAGTATAAGAAGGCAATTACAATTACAGCGTATAATAGGAAATTATATGCCATCGCTGGGTCCGTAGAGAATTTCTGAAAAGTGTAATAAACAGTATTAATAAAAAATTTGTTTATTTCTGATTTTATACAAAAATGATACCTTGCATTATAAGATTGGGATAGATGAAAAGATAGGGCAATAATATACTTTATGGTGTATGACGTATGCAGGGCAATTATTCAGTCTAAAAAATGGTAATGTTCCAAGGGACGTAAAAAGAATCTATGAGAATAATGATAATAACATAAGGATAACGATACAATATATTCGTCATAATTATATAATATTCGTCATATGGAAATCTGCATAAAGTACGATTAAAATAATATTACGAATTATGGTTATAACTACAATTGTGTGACAAAGGTTTTCTAATATACTACTTATTGAAAAGAGTAATTTACGTACAATCAGTACGACGTACAAAACTAGCCCCAATCTGAAGCCACGGCTGATAAGTTCTATCAGAAGGATCGCACGAAAACTGTCATTTACTGTTTTCGACAACCTACAAAGAAATTTAATCTAATTAAAATTCGTTCAATGAAATACTAAAAATTATTTCTAACATAAAAAAATATAAACTTAATAATATCTATGATGCGAGTTACTGATTAAATGAATTTCCAAGTCCAAAAGATATACTTTGCTAGAAGTCATTCTCTAATCGAATTATATTCTACATTAATTAGCATTCAAAAAAGAACCATATCGACGAGAAAAAAAACATACATACCTTGTCAACTCCAAATGCATGACCACTGCTCGTCTGATATTATCCTTGAATCGTTCCGATGGTTTCGGTTGAATATTTCTAATACGATAAGATAATATCGACAATTTGGCGCAGAGGTGCAGCACAGTGTTAACAATCAAACCAATTTCCGCGATATGGTACATTGGAATGTAAGTGAGAGGAAGTTGGTACAAATACATCAGAGCATAGAGTCGAGGTGTATTGTAGTCAAAGATGAGATGAACTCGAAATGGCAGCTGATACGTAATAGTGCTGTTATCTGTGAAGATATTTTAAAATGAAATTTCATATATTTCTTTCCATAACACGATAGCCATTTGATTAAACCAATCCATCAATCCGCGAAATAATTAGATTTTTCCAAATATCGTAAAGCATTTTTTATTATTTTTGAAAAAGACTTCATATCCCTATAAATGACCTCGTATCTTAGGTCGATGGATTCAGCTAAACAAACGCTACCCTTTTATGGATAAAAATCTCTAAGGAATGATTTTAGAAAACTAATTCATTCTTCAAATCTTCCCGCACCAATTTACATGGTACAAAATTATTCACTCTACAAAATTTCCTCCACTGTACGAATTAACTTTTGTAAAAACATTTTTTTGATAACTCCATCTTCTCGTGAATTACTAAACCATTCCACCTAAAATGAAACACTGCACATCGCATATACGTTGCATGTGAAAATGTTTTGTGGGCATTGATCATGATCACCTCGATGAAACGAAGTGGCCAAATGTATTGCAGGGCGCAAATACATCACGAAGATGTTGAAGATCGTGAGTATCACCGAATATTTGGATATACGACGTGACAAGATGTTATAATTAAAGTACAATCGTTTCTCCTCTTCGTTCTCGAAACACGTTTCGTCCGCGATGTCTCTTCTCATGCCAACAACCACCCCATTTAATTGCTTCCTACGTCTGGCGATCAAAAACAGCTCCATATACATCGTTGTCGCCACAACTGATTCCAGCACGTTCATCACCGCCAATTCGAGATTCCCCATACAGTCCACGAAATCCCAATACTCAAATATCAAGTATAAACCATAATAAACCACTGAAATCCTGAACATCATATGGTCGTGGTACTGTGGCCAAACCCCGATTAACGAAAGAATACGTTCGTTCCATATCAGAGGGTCTATGATTTTCTTGGCATTGCTGACCTGCAATGTGTACGGCATAATTATGCAAACGATATGGAAAAGAATAATTACCACTGGGTTGTAACATATGCAACGCTACTCGCGTGAACCGTAAACAAAAAGAATAGTGAGATTAGTAGGTTGTTATTGAAGCGTAGAGAATATTTATTGACCACATATTCAATCTGATTTGTTTTTTTTATGTCTTGTAAAGTAGACTAGTTTCAAAAATTAATGAATAAAGGTGATAATAATTAGTAGTTCTGTTAATGAAATTATCCATTGAAAATGCTTGACAATTCGAGTGCTCTATTACGAAGGGCTTTTCCGTGATTCTTCAGGCTTCTGGATTTTGTATTATAGTAATAAAATACGCTTGTCTAGTAATCATGTGTATTTTCATTTAAAATAAACAATTAGATATATTCTCTACCATTTGGATGAAGGAGCTTTTGGAAACCCCTTTACAGTATCTACCTGTTAAATTCTATAATAATCTCAATGTTACCACATTATAAGAAAGAGAACGGTCTCATTTACAAAGCAATAACCAAACAAATCAGCTTGAACTATTCGTCTATAAATATTCGACAGACCAATCAAAACAAGAATACATCGTTTTTATATTTTACTTCATCATCTTACTATTTGTTAAACATTGGAACCAATTTCTAGCTCCAACATTTTTCTCAGTTTGTCAGAAATTTGATCAGTTATAACCCATTTGAAAAAAGGTCACCGTCTTACTGTCATCGTGCTCTGTTCTGCGATAGTCGACTTTCGATTTAAAACTGTGATCTCCTGACAGCGAACTTGGTTTCAACCTCAAACTTCTCAATCGATGAACATTAATTTTGTATACAAAACAATGCACAGGTCAAACACATTGTGAAGTATTATCTTCTTTTCGTTGGTAGGGTAATTTAACGTCCTCCTATATTTTTCCATGACCAATTTTCCCCACTGGTCATCCTACGTTTAAATTCAAACTCCATACAACTAACAATAAGAATTTCTTCTGCACGCAGTGCTGCGATTATCTGTAACCACTCCATACATTGTTACATCATTTCTACCGGATGGGTCTGTCCTTTTATCGACGTACGTGATTTCCCTGTCATTTCAACAAACTTCAAACTGTAATTGAATAAAAATCACTCTTAAGAAACTGAGTACTTCTGTGAGATTGACCCTGCGGTATAGAAAGAAGAGAAATTCAGAAGGCAGGCTTTAGTTTTTCACTGGCAGTTTCGTAGAAATTATGGTAGTGAACATTGTGCGTTTTCGGGATTACGAACGTTAAGAATTCCAAAGACGGAAGTAAGGAATAGCAGTGATTGAAAACTTACTTTGTTTAGACACCGTGCAGTGAATATATACATAGTACAAAAGATTCATTTGGAGTGCACTTAACTGTAGAATGCTGCACGGACTTCGAACTATAATCGGTCCGAATTGGTCCTGCAGATGAAAGGACGACAAGAAGAGGTACTTGTTTCTTTAAAATGTTTCCGTAACTAAAAATTTGTAGATTGAACTGGATAAAAAAAAAAGTTATGGACATTCTTACCTCTTTCATTATATAACACCCACGAAAGAATATAAACAAAATGGATTAGTTGTCACAAAATGTTTTTTTTTTAATGTAATAGTACATCATGTGTTATAATATTATATACGAGACAAATCATATTCCCATGTCAATACACATGTAATTGCATTTTTCGTTTTGTTACATTTTCGTTTATCTATTCTACAATTACATTTTGGCTTGCAGTAGAGAGAGACACGCCATGGACGTTTTCACAATCTGTTTCGAAAAGAAGGGATTAACAATATTTCCTTACGTCTGTCGCGAACAAGTCAGTAATTAATTGCGACCTACATTATTTAATTTTCTACGTTGTTTGAATTAATATTTGGTGTCATTTTGACTACGTTATACAAATTACATTTGTCTTATTTGAATCTACATTTGAATATATCTTAGAAAAAACAATTATTATCAATCACGAAGAATGAAGCTGGGAAACCCTCAAATTTCTTAATGTATGTTATAGACATTTTCATTTATACATAAAACTGAAATACTTCGTATCATAGTATAACAAACAGGAAAACATGAAATTTTGGCAACGAAATTTATTAATTAAAATGAACAAATCTATCGTTTGCATTGATCTGAATTGATAAAAGGAAATATTTGTATTTACCTCGGTGAATCCGGATCGTGAGAAAATATAAAATGTTCCAGCGGTGACATACATTATTCTTTGTCCGTTCGTTATACATATCAACAATGATTTTCTATCGTTGCTTGCCACCCGATGCCAGTTGATACTATAAAATGCCTCGCCTATCATCCGGGACTAAATTAACATTCTGTTAATACTGTGTTCATATCTTGTACCATAATTAACAAAATAATTGACAGATGAACAAATATGGTTGTCGACACGATAAAGATGGAATATCTTCTTATTATATATTTTCCAAACAAAGCTTTAGGACTGTTCACGATTAATTGTAATTATGTGCCCTATCATTTAAAATTTAATCATTTGTACTTTATTAGAAACCAAACTCTTAAAGCCTCTTTTGTAAAACACTTTAGTTAGAGAGTTACGTGAATATATACAAATTAATTATTATACGAAAGAATTTAACAAAATGTGAATGACGTCGTTTATGATCCTACGTACCTCGTACATTACTTGTTCGCCTACATATGAGAATATGTATAGAAAGGCACCAACATTGATGGAATAGAGAAGGAAATTGGCCACAATCAACGGATCGGCGATTTTCTGAAAAAGTGTTAACGAATGAAAGGGATCTCTGTAGAAATGAATTCAAATGGAATTACATGTTTGAATAGTTTGAATTGTATGTTAAAATTACGATGAAGTTAAGAAACTAAGATAGAAAATTCTCTAGAGAGTTAGGTATAATAAACACAGTCGTACGACACAATATTTTTATCGTTCTTTATGCTGAAGAAATTCATTTACGTACGATCAGTACAATGTACAATGCTAAGCCCAGTCTCGAACCGCAGCTCATGAGTTCTATCAAAAGGATGATATCGAAACAGTCGTTTAACGTTTTCGACAACCTGTAAAGCAGTTTTTCTTAACAAATTCTTTCCTAACTCCTGTAACAACAGAAATTTTGAAGCTGTGATATACGTTATACGATTTGTAAGAAGTTCTGATGGAATTTGAATTTTACTTTGGATTTTGAAATTTATGACGCGTTCGACAGAAATATAATCGCGACTAAGAACAAAATTTACAAAGATATACGTATGCTTACTTTATCAGCTCCAAATGCATGGCCACCATCCGTTTCAAGTCAACTTGAAACGATTCCGATGATCTCACATCGATATTTCGAATACGGTAGGATAGTATCGATAATTTGCCGCAGAGGTGTAGCACCATATTAACTATAAAACTAACTTCCGCTACATGGTACATAGGTATATACATGCTAGGCATTTGGAACGCGTACAGCAGTGTATAGAGTTCAACTGTGTGGTAGTCGAAGAAGACGTGAACCCGAAGAGGGAGTTCGTAGGAAGCAGTATTGTTATCTGTGAGAAAATACGAACATGTACTGTGTACTTAAAGGGCTATTACTATATTGACGAAAGAAAAGAAGAATGTTTATTTAACACAACAAATAATTGTGGAAATGCCACTTTGTGCTTTAAGAGGAGGAACCACATTAGTTTCTTTACAGAGAAGAATTTATGTAAAGCTTTCTTAATTTTTACAATATTCTAAGTACAATATCCTAAATACAAGAAATTTTTTAAATTCTATTGAATACTTCTTTACTTAATTCTTTGAATACTTAAACGAAAATAATATGATCACTCCACTTCGATAAAAATAAATTTATCACAAAATAGCTTTTCACGTGTATTAAAATTGATGGGAATATATACTTGAGAACAATCATTCTAACACGTTCTAAATGTATTTACGTGTTCAGTTTTTGGACTGTTTTGGACGTCTTTACAGAACGTTAGATAATTATGCGTCAACCTAATGCATTCATGAACAATTAAAAAATACCTTTATTAGAAGAAGCGAGATGTTCTATCAAAGGTTGAGACCAGAGCAGGACAGTAATGCCGGTCGCGATTATCGTGGTGCATTTGCCGAAGTTATAGGAGATCGTGTTGTAGTTGAGGTACAACTGTTTCTCCTCGTCGTTCTCGAACGACGCGCCATCGGTGATATCTCTCCTCACCGCCACGATCAGCTCTTCCAATTGCTTTCTATGTTTGGATATTTGAATAAGACCGATGCAAATCGCCGTGTTTACCATTGTTCGAAGGATGTTTGCCACTATCCCATCGAGGTCGTGCAGTACATCGATCAGGTCCCAATATTCCATAAACATGTTCACGCCGAGATATACCAACATGATCTTGTCCAGTACGCGAGTGCGTTGCTTTGGCCAAACGCCACCTACTGAAAAAACCCACTCGTTGAACACGAATGGGTCTCTGAGTTTGATGGCTTTGTCGACCTATACGCGCAGAGTAAATTGTTCCAATGATACCGGGATGAATTAATGTCGAGAGGTATTGGGTTGTAGCATGTAAAACGCTGATCGTAGCTGCATCGCTATTTTCAAACCCATCGGGAACTGCAATTTTTATGCGTGCTTCGCGTAAACGTAAATGACAAAACCTGTTTAAACTCTTTAAACCTTTGACTGTGGGACGATTTTTGTTGGAAATTCTAAGAGGCGTAGAAGTGTGAATTTAAAAAAAATATCACCGTATAGAACATGACAAATCGAAACTTTTTTATATTTACAGTTTAATCATACGGCGTTTAGTTTCACAGATAAAAATTGAAAACTTAGAAGACCTTTTTCCTGAAATTTAATTTTTGCAATGAACTTGTAGCTTTTCAATTTCTATTTTCAAAACAAAGCATCTCATGAATAAACCGTAAATATAAAAAAGTGTCGTCTCATCATCCCCTATATGCTGATATTTTTTAAAAATTGATTTTACGGATACAAACATTTTCCCGAGACCATTTATCGAAGGCCATTATATACGCCCTTCACAGTCAAAGGGTTAAGGGATAACACCACTGTAACAGCCTAAAAAGAGCGCTTTTTTGTGAATTTTGTTTGGATGGAAGAAATGGTAGTAGACTAGTAAAGTTCGAGGAAGTGGTTAAGCATATATTTAAGTAATAAACAAAAAGTTATAATCGACAAATACTAAAAAATGGCGAAATCCGAGTCATTCTCGCGAGGTTTAGTGAATTTGAGGTACCCTACGGCACGTAGTATAGCTGGTACAAATTCACATCTGGAAAAAAAAATTAAAAAATCACTTAGTCTACATGTTCATTGGTAGAGAAATACGTAGGGGATTTTAAAAATATTGAAATTTGTGTTGTTGGTGAGTATTTGAATGAAAACATTAAATTTTCGTCGAAAAAGGAGGTAATCATTTGTTAATAAATTTTGTTTAAATTAACATATCGAAAAACCTCTACTTATTTCTCTTCAGAATGTTCCTTTAAGGATATTGTAAAAGATTGGAATCAAAGGAATGAAAATTTTTGAAGCTATGCTGTGTTTGGAGAAAAACACGTTTAAAGTTTTGAAATGTGTCATAGACATTAAAAAATGAAATGTTTAACTGTTTAAAAGTTCTTACCGTTAATCTGCTATCCCAGGACCATAAAGCTGCCTTTCCAAGTTCAAATATTCTTCTTCGTTCTCTGTCTTTGAAAATCTCTGCATCTGTTAAAGACAGTTCGGCGTGGTTGATCCGCTTAGCATCGGCTTCGAGACAAAAATTATAGGATTGAACGCCACTATCGATCTCCAAAACTTTAATGATTCGTAGAATCATGACGCCGCGTTGGTTACGATTTTTTCGTACCTTTCCTGCCCCGGTACACTCCTGCGTCGCTCATTGTAACTTAGAAACACTCTGAGATTACCGACGCGACACTAACCTTCGTTTGTGTTTAGCCCCACATTTTCAAGGTACGGCTAATATAAAAGTGTCAAAAGCCCTGAGACGTAAGATAAGTAATGGAAAAATAAGATAATAAGGCAAAAAGTGATTTTTGTAAGAAAAAGTATGTATCAGAAAAATGCAATACTTATGGGCGAATATAAAGTAGGTCTGTAAGCACTATAAAAACACTCGAAATTTCAATGAAAAAAATTCTTTTAGCCAATAAACTTTTTACTTCATATTCTAGAAGGTTCAAAGCATTTTTAAGCCAATAAACAAAAAATCGATTTTCTGAAACAGTGGTGTTACCCTTTAAGGGTGGAATTGCTTTGGAGTTTCTTCATGATTTTTTATTGAGGAAAGAATGCAAGATTTTAATTTGAAATTTTGGACGCGCTTTTATTACTCCTTTGGTATGATGTACAAATTTTTATGGAAAGATTTAGTCAATATCATAAATGTTACAATCCATCGACTGTACCGCTGTAGAATAATCATTGTTCACTGGTTGACTTGATTACAGCGGTTTGAATAAACTGAAATAAAAAATTCAACCGCCGTTTTATTCTATGAGAATATTGTTATCGTCTTACAAGAAAGAAATTCAGAAAGAATTTTTTTCTAGAAATGGCGGCTGTTCAAATCGAAAAATTTCTATTGTCGGGACAAATGTCCCGAATTTTTAATACTAATTGAAAAACTATGCAAGTTATCATTTCACGTTCGTTAGACGATAGAGAGTTCGTTTTCGAATACACAGTCCAAATTTGAAGTCGATCGGTCCAGTCATTTTTCTGAAATCGTGTCAGCCATCTTCGAAAATATAAAATACTTTCTATTATAGAACGAAGACAGACCTATATTCTATAATTTTGGCAATTTCACGATATTTGAATTGAAATTTTGCACAATTGTTATTCAAGGATCGTACTATAAGATTCTGTAAACAAAAAATCGACTTTTTGTCTCAAAAAGAAGCAATTCCCCCTTAAGGCGTTCGCTATCAGGGCATGAGAAGAAAATCTTGCCTCACAGAGCAGAGTGTATTTTTATTTGCAATATAGCTCCATTTGGGAGGGCCCTTTAGCAAACTACACAATTTTGAAAAGTGACGAGTATGTGACACCAGACTGTAAATCAAAAATTTGTTTTGTTCCGCTCGTCACAATTTAATAAAAGAAAATTCCGAAGATCGGAAAGGAAAAACGAAATAAAATTATTTTTCTCGACTGCGCAATCGAATCAAGTTCTAACCTTGCCTCGCAATTCATCAGAAATTTCTTATGTTACAACCCAATGGAAAAGATGCATCGTCTCACTTTCATCGCGTACTGATGCGCGTCACTCGACTCTCGAGTACAAACTGCTATCGCGTGACTGCGAATTTCGTTCGACAGTGGGTCGACCTGGATGCAATCGATAAGAGATTATTTCATAGGAAAACGAAGGTAGAAATAAGACGCACGTACAATACCGTATCGTCCGGGAGATGCAAGATAATTGAACTTTATTATTGTCCCATAATCAATTTACTTCGACTACTTGAAAAGTTCTGCAGACTTACCTGCATGTATTTTCCCTGGCATTATAAACTGTTTAGAATCTTTGTGTAGACATTATCTATGATTTTGTTAGATTGTCGTGTCGCCAAATAGCAATGGAAATTTAAAAGATGCGTTCTAAGTTGCTATAAAAAATGTAACAGCAATTATGCGAAGGGACATGGGGCCTTTGTTCTATTTCATACTTTAGAAATCATAGAGAGAGAACAACGCAACTGCTCCCACTGAAATCCTACGTAACGTTCATGCAAACAATAATGGAAACATTCAAGCAGTGCAAAAAGTTAGTGTATGAAATTAAAAGATTGAGATTCAAGCTTCGACACCGTTATCAGGAAGATAATCGAAGACTAACAATGTTCTTGATTGTTCCCTGCAAGAAGACTCATGTCCCAATCGCTATGGAATAGATGAGCTATGGCTTGTTTTAAAGTACTCGAGATGGAAGGACGCTGAATGAATACAAATAATCCTGTCTACTATCACAGGTGAATTAAGAATGCAAACTCTTCATTTAATAACAACATTCTTAACTTCACAATGAAAGTCACAAGACAATTTTTATGGAAATGCGTTATTAAATATAGATCTGTATTTGTTACTGCGTTCTTTCCGAGCTTATCAACGAAAAGTGGTTAGTAATCTTACATTAACGAATATTTAAAACATCATATATTACAATGTACAAGACACAGTACTCTCGCTCTGGTCGAAAATTTTTGTAATGCTATTATCCATCGTCCGGTTACATTCTGGCTCGCAGCATGGAGAGACATGCCATAGAAGTTCTGACAATCTGTTTGGAACAAAAATTACGAATATTTGTTCACCTTTATTGCAAACGAATCAATATATAATTGCTACGCATATAGAGGTATATAGACTATCATAATGAAATTCCGAAGCTGGACATCGCAAATTTGTATCCGTAGGCGAAGCTAAAAATTACGAAACATGTTTAGAAATATAATATCAATGTTGTAAATATGTAGCGTATAACATAATTTTTTGGAAATAAAATTTAACCGACTTCCAAAAAGATGCAGTGAAAAGTATGAAATAATTTCCAGTCAATTTATATGAATACGCACTAGCACTAGATATAATTGCTTAAAAGTATGGGAAAATGCAATGAAAAGTATGAAATAATTGTATTATCGGCCGTGCGCTCTACATTACCGACAGAACAATCTGCATTACTGACCGGCTGAC